GCTTCATATCCGAGTCACGGCACCATTATGTCGCTCCCCCTCTTCGTGGAGGAACGACACAGGACCCTGCGCTGTTCTTTCGTCTGCTCGGCCCTCCCCGGGTTTGCTGCTGGTTCTTCCCGGGTTGGCTACTATCCCTTCCACCTCCGTGGAAGGGCAGTTCCCCCTGGCCACATTCCCCACTTCCGCAGGGGAGCGGCACACCGCCGGCCGGCTCTCTCGGGGGCTGCACAGGTGTTCCCCTTAGATGTTCCTGGTGCATGCCGTCTCTCTCCTCCTTTATAGTCCTCCTCCGCCAATCCTAACTCGGCTGCCCACACGCCGAGTACGCTGCTCTCCTCCAATCAGGAGCAAGTCCTACAGTTTATTGGCTGAACTGGAGGCAGCTGTGTAGAAGCTGTTTTCTTCTCTCCCAGCACCATATTGTGGGAGAGCAGATGCATAGAATAAGTCTTAATTCCAGTAACTTAGTCTAATCCGAGTTGCTCCCCACACCCGAGGATCTATCTTTTTAAGAAACTCCTCAAGTTATTCTTTTTTTGTTTTTTGTTTTTGTTTTTTTTTTTGTTTGTTTCTTTTTTTGGCAGGCAGAGTGGACAGTGAGAGAGAGAGAGAGAGAGAAAGGTCTTCCTTTTCGGTTGGTTCACCCTCCAATGGCCGCTGCGGCCAGCGCGCTGTGGCTGGTGCACTGCGCTGATCTGAAGCCAGGAGCCAGGTGATTCTCCTGGTCTCCCATGCAGGTGCAGGGCCCAAGGACTTGGGCCATCCTCCACTGCACTCCCTGGCCACAGCAGAGAGCTGGACAGGAAGAGGAGCAACTGGGACTGAATCTGGCCCCCTGATCGGGACTAGAACCCGGTGTGCCGGCGCTGCAGGCGGAGGATTAGCCTAGTGAGCCGCAGCACCAGCCCAGGTTATTCTTAAACCACAGTGGAATTTTAGAATGTGGGGACCATGCAAAGAGCTCTGAACCAGGAGTCTGAACATCTGTAACTCTGCCACGAACACTCTGTGTCTCTGCAGTCAAGTCACTTGATGGCTCCGAGTCTATTTTCTCGTCTCCAAAATGGGCATAGCTATCCCCACCCTGCCTTCCTCATAGTGCTAGGCCAATGGTCTTCGTCCCTTTTCTGTTGCTAATAACACAACACCACAGCCTGGGTAAGTTCTAGAGAAAAGAGATTCGGGCCCACAGTCCTGGTCTAAGGCCAAGGGGCTGTACACAGTGACGTCTTCTTACTGGCAGAGTTCCCAGGGGTGCAGGGCAGCACAGGGCGAGACACAGGGAGTGTTCACGCGTGCCTTCTTCTTTCTTCCCTCCTTCTTCTAAAACCAATCATGGGCTCCACCCTGATCTCCATGGCTAATCTTAATCACCTCCCAAAGGATGGACCTCTAAACACTCTAACTGGATTAAGCTCCCACCCTCCTAGCATCACACCATGAAGAGTAAAGCCCAACTTTGTGAGTTTTAGAGAGCTGAAACCATAGCATCGATGCAACAATCACCCAAGACTTTGCAAATTTGCTTTGCAGGACAGAAATCACTATGGCCGTGATCATCTACAAACAGCTTCCTCTGTACCTTTTTTTAAAAGAGAGAGAGATTCCATCTGCTGGTTCACTGCCTAAATGCCAACAGCTGGGCTGGGCCAAAGGAAGGAGCCAGGAATCTCCCACATGGGTTGCAGGGTCCAACTACTTGAGCCATCACCTGCTGCTTCCCCCGGGTGCAAATCAGCAAGAAGCTGGCACTGGGAGCAGAGACAAGACTTGAACACAGGCACTGTGGTGTGGGATGTGGGCTTCCCCAGCAGCATCTTGACAACAACAAATGCCCACCTCTAGAAGGGACTTTCTTACTAAGAGTTGCTGAGGCAAGCTGGGCTAATAAAATAATAATAACGATGATGATGATGTTGCTTTTGCCATAAAAAAATCAAGTAGCCTTTTATGGAAAAGCCAACCATCACATATTGCAACCCTCTGAAGGAAACTAGACTGTTTCAGGAATAAATATTTGGAAGTAGCAGGCAGGCTGTGGCCTCTTGTTCTCTAGAGCAGGAGTCAGCAAACTATCTCTGTAAAAAGTCAAGGTCATATATTTCCCACCACAGGCTCTGTTGTTACTGCAAAGACAACCAGTGAGTGTGGCTACGCTATCTAGACACATAAACAGGCAGTCAGCTGATTTCACCTGTAGGCTATAGCTTGCCCAACCCTGTTCTAAAACAAGGACCTTACAGGTAGCTGCAGCTGGTGCAGCAGCCAGCTTATGTGAGCTTTCGTGGCCCATGGTTGCCTTCTCTTCTCAATCCTGTGCTGAGTGACTTCACGCCAGTAGTTTAAAATCAGTTATGTTGGGAACAGTTACACAATTGGAAATGGGCAAACACTGCTGAGTATCAGAGCTCTGTGCACCCCACCACCCCAAGCGCACCAGCTGTTACACACGTGCTAGCACACCACAGGGGCGTGTCCACCAGGAGAGGGCTGGAGGGTGGGGATTTGGTGTGCCAGACATTCCCCGGGAATATGGGAAGCAACTACTAGATGTCAGTGCCAGCACACTTGTGTTTTTGCAGGGAGCTGGGACATCTGGGATCCTAGTGGAGCCTCATAAGAAGCCTGTGAGGTCCAGCACCACCAGCACCCCCATTGTGGTACATCACCAGATTGGAAGGAGGTAGGGCAGGATGGAGCCCATGCCATGCCTGTCCCCATCTGGCCAGCAGATCAGCTTCTTCAAGGCCATGATCAGCAGCAAGCCTCAGCTCTTTTCCATTGATTTCTAATAGAGCCAGAGTCCTCACTGCCATGGAACAGCCCTGACTCAGAGACTAGTTTGAGTAGTTGTTTCTAAGTTGGGAGAAAAGTTCATGATGCTATAAAGAATATCTGACCTCCCTTATGAAGCATCATTGTCATGTGGACATATTTAAGATTCATTTTATTTATTTGAAAGAGTGACATAGAGAGGGAATGATGCAAAGAAAGAGATCATCCATCTGCTTTTCAAATGGTCACAACAGCTGAGGCAAGGGCCAAATCAAAGCCAGGAGCCCGCAACTCTATCTGTCTCCCATGTAGATGCAGGAACCCAAGTACTTGAGCCATTATCCACTGCTTTCCCAGGTGCGGATTGGTAGCAGAGCGGCAGGGGCTCCAGCTGGCACTTGTGGGCTCCACAAGCAGAGATTTAACCCAGTGTGCCACAATGCCCACACCATGTGGACACATTTTAAAAGGCTCAAAATGCTATAGACTTTATACCACAGAACTTGGGTTGATCAGGATCAGAAGCAGCTGACCTTGCTGGAGCACTTCCCATGGGAATGGTCCCACCTGGCACTTGTCATCACTCCTAGTTTACAGCTGAGGTTTATCTGCCTCCCCAGCATCTGCACCCCTTGCTCCTGGGACTCGTTTTGCAATTCTACTTTGAAGAACCTCACTGGCTTCCTTGGATACGGTATGGAGGGAGGAGTGTCGGCCAAAGAGTGCTGTCTTTAACTGAACATGAAGTAGACACAGGACCCAAACTAGGGCATCATTGGCTTAGCTCTTCTCCACCTGAGGAGTGGGGTCAAAGCTTCCCGGGTCCTGTCTCTGCTGATTGTCAGGCATTTCTGACCCTGGGACTTCAGCATGCCCATCACCTTGGCAAGCCACTCGTGTTGTGGGCAGAGCAATGCGGGTCCTTATCTCCAGACCTCACATGGCAGGGGGAGACTTTGCAGCATGACTGAAGTTGAGCATCTTGAGATGGGGATGACCCTGGATTACCCAAGCAGACTTGGTGTGAATTACATGAGTCCTGGTAAGTCAAAGAGGAAGGCAGGGGGTCCATGTTGTGGCACAGTGGGTCAAGCCAACACCTACTACACTGGCATCCCATATGGGCACCAGCTGCTCCACTTCCAATCCAGCTTCCTGCTAATGGCCTGAGAAAGCAGTGGAAAATGGCCCAAGTGCTTGGGCACCTGCCACCCATGTGGGAGACCTGGATGAAACTCCTGGCTCCTGGCTTTGGCCTGGCCCACTCCCCAGCCCCACTGTGGCCATTGGCCATCTGGGGAGTGAACCAGTGGGTGGAAGATCTCTCTCTCTCTGCAGCTCTTTCAAATAAATAAGTAAATCTTTAAAAAAAAAAAAAAAAAAAAGAAAGAAAGAAAGAAAGAAAAGAGGAAGGCCACAGCCAAATGGAAGTTGGAAAAGGCATGAAGATCGCTGTTCCCCAGGGGTCTCCAGAAGGAATACCGCCATGCTGACATTTTAGCCCCGTGAGCTCCATTCTGGGGCTCTGACCTCCAGCACAGTAAGATAACACATGGCACTGCTCTAAACCACTAAATGGATGGTACTCTGTCTCAGCAGCATCAGACATGAGTCCACCCGGTTTCCTTCCGGTGAGCTCCTTTCTGTTTTAGCCTACTTCTGACTTATGCAAGCTAGAAGCTATTGTTACTGCTTGTAGCTGAAGAGACGCGACGGATAGACGACGAACTCCAAGCTTCATTCTCCACCCCTTGCCCTGCTTCCTGGTCTGAGTCCCTGGGCTGCAAGGCTGCCTGACCCCATTTTGAAGGCCCTGACCTTGCTCAGTGATGGGACTCCACCCTTGTGGTCAGCCCTTCCACCCACCTGCTGCTGACTGCCTGCTCTCCTGGTCTCCTGGCTGTCACTTGACCCAGATTGCTTCTCTCTGCATCTCCCCCACTTGTCAGGTTACTCGCTCCGTGTCTGGGACCCACCCACTTATCATCTGACTACCTGATGACTCACTGGCGCTTTTCCCTTGCATGCTGCATGCTCAGCATACACTCAGCCACTTCTGGGCACTTCTGCCTCACAGTCAATTCCCTGAGCACCCGCCATTTGGGGAATGAACCAGCGGATGGTAGATTTTGTACTCTCTCTCTGTCTCTCTCTCTCTCTCTCCCCCCCATTCAATAAATTAATAAATTTTTTTAAAGAAATGAAACCCACAGACACAGAGGTTAACCAGAGATTTTGCCTTTTACAGCTTTTTTTTTTATTTGATAGGCAGAGTTAGACAGTGAAAGAGAGAGACAGAGAGAAAGGTCTTCCTTCTGTTGGTTCACCCCCAAAATGGCCGCTACAGCCAGAGCTGCGCCCATTCGAAGCCAGGAGCCAGGTGCTTCTCCTGGTCTCCCATGGGGTGCAGGGCCCAAGCACTTGGGCCATCCTCCACTGCCCTCCCAGGCCACAGCAGAGAGTTGGACCGGAAGAGAAGCAACCAGGACTAGAACCCGGCACCCATATGGGATGCTGGCGCCGCAGACGGAGGATTAAGCAAGTGAGCCATGGCGCCGGCCCCGCCTTTTATAGCTTTATAAAATGAAACTCCACTTGTTTCTTCCTTCCGACTGTCTTTGTCAATCTCACGGGTTCACCAGAAGAGCAGGAGGTGCACAGGAACCACCCAGTGTGGGCAGCTGACTCCAGTGTGCTCCGGGAGCCCACGTCAGCCTTGTAGAAGACGAAGGGCCGCTGTGCTTGCTCCTTCTCGGTGACTAGGTCTTCGAGCTTCTTTTTCTGTGAGATAAGAGATTATTCAATAGCACAGGCCAGAAGAGGGAGAAAAGCGCAACACACGTCCCAGGCTGAGCCCCAGAGAACACGAAAGGGCAGGGGGCAGGCAGCTTTGGTATTTAAGCCTTGGCATTGGTATTTTTTTTTTTTTTTGACAGGCAGAGTGGACAGTGAGAGAGAGAGACAGAGAGAAAAGTCTTCCTTTGCTGTTGGTTCACCCTCCAATGGCCGCTACGGCCGGCGCACTGCAGCCGGCGCACCACGCTGATCTGATGGCAGGAGCCAGGTACTTATCCTGGTCTCCCATGCGGGTGCAGGGCCCAAGCACTTGGGCCATCCTCCACTGCACTCCCTGGCCACAGCAGAGAGCTGGCCTGGAAGAGGGGCAACCGGGACAGAATCCGGCGCCCCGACCGGGACTAGAACCCAGTGTGCCGGCGCCGCTAGGTGGAGGATTAGCCTAGTGAGCCACGGCGCCGGCCTGGCATTGGTATTTAAGGGGTGATAAGGAACCATGCCTGCTCTGACATGCCCCCTTTGCCTGAATTAAAAATAAAGAGAGAGAGAACGCAAGCTGCAGGAATCAGATACACACCACAATATCAGCTTTGTATTTTTAAAAAGATAGATTAGAAAATACAGCTTAGATCCAAAGCGGACACTGGGCTGGCTAAGATTCATCCCCTCAGGTGAGAGATTGCTCCCAGCTGGGACTCCGTGTGCAGAGCAGACACCTGGCTCCGACACCTGCCTCACAACCTCCACCCCCGTGTGGCAGGTCAGGGTCCTCCCCACGTGTGCTGCCTGCTCCAAGGAAAGCTAGGGCAGGAGACACAGCTCATCCCAGACTTTGATCCAGAGAGGAAGATGGACTGCTAGTGCCTTCCGGGCTCCTCCTTGGAGCCTCCCCGCTGTGTGGAGCTGCCTCCTTCCCCAGGAGGCTAGAACCCGAAGGGAGGGCACTGCCATCTTAGGGGCAGAGATAAGAATTTGCAGGGAAAGCCAGAGGCACTGAGGATCGGAGGGAACAGGAAATTGGCTGGAAGCTCACCTTCAGCTGGAGGGATGGGAAAATTTTCCCTTGGGCCTTGACACAGCAAAGGCAGAGCTCTCCTTTAGAGACCGCCAAGAGAATCGGGCTCCCTTTCTCAGGAGGGGCTGAGTGATAGTATGAGGCTAAAACAAAGAAGGTCTCTGGGAAGGAAGCAGCCAGGAAAAGTTAGTTCTCTGAGAAGGGACAAGCCCCCCCTCTCTGCTGGTCAAAGTTCCCTTCTGTTGTCTTGGCCCAAGCCCCCTCTCCTTAACAACCCAGCCCCCTGGCTCCTTCCTTCTAGAAGAACTCCCCTCTGATCTGGTCATTTTGACAGATCCTCCCTCTGACTCCCCAGGGTCCCTGGAGTCCTCCTTGCCATTGCCACCACCTGCTGGAGCCAGCTGTAGTCCATCATAGAGCTGAGCCCATGTGCAGGGAGGCCAGACCTGGCCGGGGTTTAGGTGGGGGATCAGAAAACCCAGCAGGATGAGGAGTTACCTGGAAGTATGTAGGCCTTGTGTGGGATTGCTTTCAGGATCTCACAGTCCAGGACCAACACTTTTTGATCTCCATCACGAATGTTGAATTTCTCCGGCTCTTGGAACTTCACCAACGACTCTAGATCAATAGAACTACTATTGACACTTCATACCAGCTATTTTAGGCTTTAGGACAAGTTATTAAATATTCATGCCTGGATACCCTCATCTATGAAATGAGGGTAATAAAGGACTTAAACACTTTTTTCAAGGAGTCTGAGCTTATAACATGTCTGCGCTACAGGAAAGGCTCAGTATGTGTTAATCATTGTTCGTCTAAACCTTTCCTGAGCATCATGCTATCAGCAATGCGTGGGGTGGAGCAGAAAACTACTTTCTGGGATGGGAAAGCGACAACGGAAGGCGGGGAGTGGGAACTGAGGCAGCAGGCACCCAGGAGCCCAGCACGGAGCAAAACAGAGCTGGGGGGCCTGCGCTGTGGATCTGTGCAGATCTACCATCTGCGGTGTCTGCATTCCATACGGTGCCGGTTCCAGTCCCAGCTGCTCCACCTCTGATCCAGCTCCCTGCTAATGCCCTGGGAAAGCATCAGAAGATGGCCCAAGGTGTTGGGGCTCTGCACGCACGTGGGAGATCTGGAAGCTCCTGGCTGCTGGCTTCAGCCTGGCACTACAATGGCAGCTGTGACCATCTGGGGAGTGAACCAAGGGATGGAAGATCTCTTTCTTTGTGTTCTTCTCTCTTTCTGTAACACTGCCTTTTGAATAAATAAATATTTTTAAATAAAAGGTGATACTCTTTTAAAAATAAAAATTAAAAAAACCTGAGCTGGCACTGAAGAGGCTCCTTTGAAAAGAGCCTGAATAAGACAAAAGGACCACCCACGACAGTGACTGGAGGCTTCCTAGGGCATGGGCTCCCGGGAACTGCTTCAGGCTACTCCTGCCTGGAGTGGGCCTTGCACAGGAAGCCCACCCTACTGTCTCTGATGGGGCAGGAAACCTGTCCCTCAGCCAGGAGTCCAGGCACTTCTCTGATGGGCGGGCAGGAGCCTCCACGCCAGGTCAAGACTGCAGCGGTGGGTGGCTGCACAATGTCAGATATGACCCTGTGAGACGGCAGCAGCCACCGCCCTGTGTGATGCTTCAACACAGCACAAGGCTATGACAGGCGACTGTCATGTAGAAGACATCCCAAGGGCTCATTGTCCTCCCACACATAACCACGCCCTCTGCCAGGGTGGGCTGTGCTCCTGGGCTCCTCCTGCCAGAGAACAGGGAGGAGCCTCCTGCGACACCAGCTCTCCTGCCACCTCTTCCAGGCAGGCCTCCTCAGCCCCTCTGCATGGGGTGGCTTCCTCTCTGGCTGCTGCACACTGCCCTGAGCGCTCGCACCTGCACACAGGTGTCAGTGTCCTTGTCTCATCACCCTTGTAAGCTCCTGGGAGCAGCTCCCTTGTCTGACTTGGGGTGACCCTCCACAGCGCCCCCCCAGAGTGCCCCAAGCATCAGGACACTGGGGGTGGCTATGGGATGGACACTGGCCCCACAAGGAGGTGGGGTCAGATGAGATGCGAGGTTCTCAACCCTGGCTTGTGTCAGCATCTCCTCAGAAGCTTTCCGGGCTCCAGGCCCAGGCGTTCTGATTCAGGGGCAGGTGCAGGTTGGTTTAGAGCCACTGGCTTGGATTCACCCTGAGCCTTTCCGTTTCCACACTGTCCTGGGCAGTGAATCCCCTGCGGGTTGTGGCTCCGAAGGTCAGGCTGGGGCTGAGGTCCTGCCTTTCCAAGCAGCTCCAGGAGCTATTGCTGCTGCTGCTCTGAGGACGCAGGCGAGGGCGGGCCCAGGGCGTCAGTGTTTCTCCACCTGGCTGCCCACTGGGCACCACCTGGTGGGTGACATTTTGAGACCTGGACCCCTCATCCCTGAGATTCTGACTCCAGTGGTCTAGAGTGAGGCCAGAACATGCTATTTCTAACAAATGTCACTTCTTGCTCTACCATTTTATTTTTTCTACCTCTTAACTTTTTTTTCTTTTTTTGACAGGCAGAGTGGACAGTGAGTGAGAGAGAGAGAGAGAGAGAGAGACAGAGAGAAAGGTTGGTTCACCCTCCAATAGCCGCTGCGGCCGGCGCACTGCGGCCAGCCCACTGCGCTGATCCAATGGCAGGAGCCAGGTACTTATCCTGGTCTCCCATGGGTGCAGGGCCCAAGCACTTGGGCCATCCTCCACTGCACTCCCTGGCCACAGCAGAGAGCTGGCCTGGAAGAGGGGCAATCAGGACAGAATCCGGCGCCCCAACCAGGACTAGAACCCGGTGTGCCGGCGCTGCAAGGCGGAGAATTAGCCTAGTGAGCCGCGGCGCCGGCCCTCTTAACTCTCACTTTGTCTTTTCCCTCCTTCTATTTCTGTTTCCCTCCTGGCACAGCCCGACCCTGCCCTCCTCATCTCACACACCAGCCAGTGTAGGATCCTCTTCAATGGTATTCTTGCTTGCCATCCTTGACCCCCGAGCTTCTCAATGTCACTGTGCAGGTGTGAGTGTTTTAGCTGCTGGCATTTATATGCTACAGGGAAGTGGTTCTCAACCCACAGCAGCAGCGGTAGCATCAGTAACAGCAGCAGTAGGAACAGCAGGGACACCAACAACCACAGCAACAACACACAGCCACAGTTTACTGGAAAATCAAAATGCCAGCAGGGCAGCATCAACAGTAGCACAGGGACGCGCGGCGGCAGCAGCAGCAGCAGCAGCAGCAACAGTGCTTGAAGCAGGCTCCCGCCACACTGACTTGAGAGTTGCCGTGAGCCTCACCACCCTGGTCTCCTTGTGTCCTCACTGCCATTTTGCTGGTAGGGCAGTGGGTCTCAGTGTTGATGCACTGACCTGAGGCAGAGCTGCGACTCAGACCGAGGTCCCCCTGACTCTGTCCTGAGCTGAGGGGCGTGATGCAGCCTTAAAACTATTTGGGGAGGACAGATTAGTGAGAGCACCTTTAAATGTTCACCTTTCAATGTCGTCGTTTACACCCTATGTCATCTGGGGCAGGTCCCTGCTCCTCTTCACCTCAGTTTGCACACCTGAACAGCGGTGATATTAACCACTTTCTCTGGGCAGTTGCACAGTACAGATGGCAGTGGGCAAGGAAGGTTCTGGTTTCATCATTGTGGACCCTCTATGAGCCATCTATGGTGTGGATGTTGCTAGGAGCGCCCCTTGCTGATCACTCTCCTGTGTTTCATCCTTGCAAGGAAGAAGTCAGGCTGACCAGCCTTTTGGCAGTGACCAGAGAGCAGTCAGCTGGTTCCTAGGTTCAAAACCTTCCTGTCCCACGCCACTGAGCACTTGAGAATTCCCTACCCTCTCTGCAAGGCAAAGGCCCACCTGGGACTCCTCTCTCCCATAGACTCTGTTGAAAATGTGCCTCCATTTAGGAAAAGCCCTATCCTCTCCAGCACCATTAGTTGTCACCAGTCTGCGTTCTCCCATCCTCTTAGAGACCCCAGCAGCACCATCCCCCAACCCTCCCCCTCTATACCTGAGCTGCTCCAATACTTCACCAGGGCCTTACTTGATTGAACAGAGTCCACAGAGGGGAAGCTGGGGCCTGGCTCTTGGGGGCTTCCAGCTGGGTCTGCAATCAGAGACCGGGAGGTTAGCATATGCTGGCGGGTTTTCCCAAGGATTAGGGGGTTCTAATTCCTTAATTCTAATTAAGGAATTAAGGAATTAAGTTAATTCCTTAACTACTTAATTCCTTAGTTCTTCTGTGTGTGTGCTGAGATAATACAGCAGATAGACTGTAGACATGACACTGAAAACAGTCTTCTTGATCTCAAGTGTCAGGAAACAGAGGTGAAATTGTCAAAGGTGGGCTCTGGCTCATTTTGGTCCCCTCCCCTCACAGTGTGCATGTTAGGCACTCACCTGGATCAGACGCCTCTTCCCCTCTTCCACAAACCAACACTCGTGCCTTCCCCCTTGAAGCATATAGGAGTCCTGCACCTGGCTCTTTTTCCCAACCCATCCTCCGCATTCCTCCCGCCACAGGGCTTCTCTGCCTGGGCAGGTTGGCAAGAGGAGATGCATTAAGAAGATATAAAACTTTCCAGTAGGGCACCAGCAAGTCAAAGCCTGAAGCTTTAGTGGGAGCTGGGCCATTGTCTACTATCTGGTGTCCTGGCACCTATGGCAACACTTTCTTTTTCCTCCTAGGGTTCCTCAGGTCTGACCCATTTACCAGGAAGCTTTTTTTTTTTAAACATACTTGCTTAATTTATTCATTAGCCTTCTTTTGACGACAGAATTCTACATAAAGGCACACACAAAATTATAACACAATAGCCTCGGCACCCTCTTATTTAGCATTTCTTTAAATTAGATTACATGAATAAAAAATTCAGAAAACATACACTTCTGTGTAGCTCACACACCTATCCAAGTGGATCCAAGACAAGTCCTGATTAAGGCTCGTTTATTGAACAAATCCAGTAGTATTTAAACATGACCAGTTGTTTACAAGAAGGAGCACACAAAAGATTTACATATCAAAAAGGCTTTTAAGGTTATAAAGAGTTCCTGATAAGGTTCTTAATTATTGATTACAAGGGTACAATAAAACACTTAGGTGATAAATGCAGGTTACAGGTGTGACTGATTATCTGTATCATCTCTTGTGAGAGGTTTAGGTTCTTCCTGCCTCTTCCCGGAATCTCCTTAGCCTAATTGTCTGTGCTGCAAGTCTCCATTCATATGTTTAAGTGTAAACAAAGGGAGTGACTGCCTGTGGCTGCCCACAATAGATATTTAGATACATATTTCTGTGAAAATAATGTTTAAAGGTTTTACTGCAAAAAAACCTGGCTTCAACATGGAAGCATTTTTCCTTTTCAAGATTATACACCTGCATGGAAGAAGCTGCTCTCCTTTACATAGTTCTTCATAATAGCAAAATAAACTTCTTACACATTGCATTTGACAAAGAACATTAAGATGTAAATTTCCATGTAACATTTTGTATTGTGAACTGACATCTCTAAACATATTGAAGATAGACCGGTGATGATTAAATATAATACAATTTGATCACTTTCATTAGAATAGTATTATGCTGAACAATTTATTAAACCAAATATATGTTAAAAGAATAAGTAATGTTAACTACTATTAAGATTTAAAGGGCATTATAATTATCATTAAAATATACATTAATTTTCGGCCGGCGCCGCGGCTCACTAGGCTAATCCTCCGCCTAGCGGCGCCGGCACACCGGGTTCTAGTCCCGGTCGGGGCGCCGGATTCTGTCCCGGTTGCCCCTCTTCCAGGCCAGCCCTCTGCTGTGGCCCGGGAGTGCAGTGGAGGATGGCCCAGGTGCTTGGGCCCTGCACCCCATGGGAGACCAGGAAAAGCACCTGGCTCCTGGCTCCTGCCATCGGATCAGCGCGGTGCGCCGGCCGCAGCGCGCTGGCCGCGGCGGCCATTGGAGGGTGAACCAACGGCAAAAGGAAGACCTTTCTCTCTGTCTCTCTCTCTCTCACTGTCCACTCTGCCTGTCAAAAAAAAAAATATATATATATACATTAATTTTCTTGCTATATTTGTTTCTATAATGTATTTCTTTCTAAAGCTAAAGCCACATGCAGAAAAAATAAATGGTATCTTCAAACTCATTCAACAGCTTGCTATTTTATGTGGTATGTAAATAAAGTCCTTTTTTAACTTTATACACAGTACTTATTCATTATTTTCTTTTTCTTGAAGGAATTCAGCTTTCAAGGTCAAAAATAGTATGTGTTTACGCACGAGGACATTTTCTTACTGTTATTACTACCTGTAAATACATTCTTCAATAATAATGTACTTTCAGATTTCATTTAGAAGACAGTGCGTGTCTTTTAAGAGTCCCATGAGTAAAATTTAAAAAGGAAAGAGAGCACAGGTTGTGGTGACTCAGTCCCAGCTCCCACTTCTTACAAGAAATCTTCCTGCTTCAAAACATCAACACAACATCACAGGACTGGTTCTTGTTTGATCATAATGTGGACAAAAAAAATGTATTCCTATTCCTTCTGATACTAACAGTTGGACTGATTTTATTTTTACTTTTCTTTAAAAAACACATAGCACATATTCATACAGGTTGTCAAACCCATTTAGAGCAAGTAGGTTCTTCAGAATAATAGGCAGCCTTCAGATTAGAATAATAACCAATTGCTTATAGAAAAATGATATGCCTCAGATGTTTAAAAGAAAACAAAAAATGAGAACATGTCTGTCATGTTTTATACACTCAACAACTTAGAGGATGATGTGAAAATAGTCTGAATATAATTTTAACAAAACTAAAACCCACTTTAGCAGACTAAAAAAATCAAACATTGAAGAATCAACTATCTACCAACTTATCTAGTATCTCTGTTCAAATAGATGCTTTCCATTGCAGTGAATATTTGAATTAGAGATTCACTATCTGTTAAGGCATATTTTGATTAATATGTTCCAGAATTGCACAGTTATACTGGTCAGTGTTCCTATTTCCCCACCCTGCTCTCATCTCTACTTCTTTCTTCCAAGGATCAAAATGTTAAGTCATGGCTTTGGTGGCAACTGTAAATTTGAGCTGGCATACCACAGTGTGTTCACTAAGTTTCATGAGCACAAACATTAAAATGTTACATAAAATGTAGCATAATTTAGTCCATACTAAGATGGTTTAATGCCTTGACAAAAGGTAAGATGACTTAAGTACATTTTACATTTTGCGCATTTAGACCACCATAAACATAGATAGATGTTCTAATGCTAAATTCTTGGTTGTGGGGAGCAACTCGGACTAGACTAAGTTACTGGAATTAAGACTTATTCTATGCATCTGCTCTCCCACAATATGGCGCTGGGAGAGGAGGAAACAGCTTCTACACAGCTGCCTCTCGCCAACTTGACTGATGAGCTGCAGGAGCTGATCCTGCTCCTGATTGGAGGAGAGCAGTGTACTCGGCATGTGGGTAGCATAGTTGGGATTGGTGGAAGAGGACTATAAAGGAGGAGAGAGACAACACGCACCAGGAACATCTGGATAACATCTGAGCAGCCCCCGAGAGAGCCGGCCGGCAGTGTGCCGCTCCCCCGCGGAAGTGGGGAAAGTGGCAGGGGGAGCCGCCCCTCCACAGAGGTGGAGGGATCGGTAGCCAACCCGGGAAGAACCAGCAGCAAACCCGGGAAGGGCCGAGCAGACAAAAGAACAGCGCAGGGTCCTGTGTTGTTCCTCCGCGAATGGGGGAGCGACACTTGGTCTTCAGTATCTCATAGTGCTAGAAGCTCAGAAGTATGTCAGAAACTTATAACATAGACTAACCACAAAGTACCAGATGTTTCTTGCCATTTGTGATCTTGTAATAAAAATGTGCCAGATCAGAATCACGAGAATGGTATTGAAGCCATAACGTAGGTTCCGCAATTTGTTCAGATGCTTTCTAGCAGCAGGGAGGCCAGACATTTCTTCATTTAACACGTATTTCTTAGTTCCCATGCAGTAGTTCTCTATATACGCAGCCCAACGTAACTGCCGTACATCAATATTGAAGGTCTTTCTGTCTTCAGGATTTAGTTGATTCATTAACATATTCACATTGTCAGTATTCCAAACCCAAGAATTACTTGTGAAATATTCAAGAAAGACGATAGTTTTGTGAAGACGAGTTATTGTTTTCATCATCCTTGGGCTTCTTCCAGTCATCCTGAGGTAGATATCATACAGGAATGCTGGGGCCTTATGGCTTACAGCAATCCAGAAATGATATGAGAGGTGATTGGAGGTTAGATTTACATTGGGCCACCTGAAGGCCTGTTCGAGAGGATTTCTCCTAAAGGTGGAAATTACATGGTATTCAACTTCACCCCAGTGGAATGGATTAGTGCTGCCTGTTGTGCAGTTGTATACCATGATGTTTCTTGGTCTATTAACTCCGGAATACCAGGCTGCTGCAAGACTCGTGTTGACAACTACATCTACAGGAACAAGATCTGCAAGGGCACTGTTGGAGGCACGCATTGTTCGAAGAATTCCTTTCCCTGCCGCAATGAAGAGACCACTTGGTCCATTAAAGTTATCAATCCATCCTGGAAAGGGTTCTTTCCAAGTGGCACCGACAATCGATGGCCTTACAATCGCCACGTTTAGCTTTGCTCCTTCTTGTTGTACAACATATTCTGCCAATGCTTTCGTGTATATGTACGTATTAGGTCTATCTCCTATCAGTTTGGGTGTGATATCAGTTACTAGGCCATCATCCATCCACTCTAAAGAGTCAATCAGCTTCTTGGGGTCTACTGGGGGTGGATATACTACTTCATCAATATGCTTTCGATTGCAGTAGGCATATGCTGTTGATACATGCATGAACACCTCCAAGTTCTTCATTTGTTGTGCAAGGAGAATAAGCTGTCTTGTAGCAGTCACATTTAACTGAACAGCATCTCTTAAATTTTCATTAAACCTTACGGTGGCTGCACAGTGGAATATAATATTGGTGGAATCTACGATGACCTCTTCATCTTCCTCACTAAGAGCCAGTTTAGGTTGAGTAAGTTCGCTGTTGATTGCTATTATTTTCTCTCTAAAATCTGGATTTTCACCTCTCAATCGATCAAACAGCTTGCCACTCAAGACTTGTTCCACTCGTTCTTGAGGGGTCTGCCCAGCTTTCTGCCTCACCAAAACATATACTGAATTCACCTTTGGACAAGACCTCAGCAACTTCTCCAGAAGCACTTTTCCTAGGAAGCCAGTAGCTCCAGTGAGCAGAACATTCTTGCCTTCATAGTATTCTGGGATTGACACCATTTTGACCCTAGATGCAGAGGCTCAGGCCTCACTTTCCCTCTGGCCGTCCAGCGACGGCTGCTTGCTCTCCTTACTCGCTCTTCCACCGCCCCCGACCGGCAGCTGAAGATACGAGGAAGTTTTAAAGCTCACTTTTTGTACCTCATCAGCAAGGAGGAACTGGGTCCCTGCATAGCACCTAGCAGAGTCCTGCATCAAGAATTAGACTTTGGTCAATGTGAATTTTTCCAAGAATCTCACCTCCTGAGCAGTCCTGGGGCTCAGCCTTTTCCCCATCTTCTGAGTCCATTTTCACTCCTGAGTTCTTCTCCAAAAGGGACATTTTGGACATGAGTGAAATAATCAACAGGTGATGAGAGCGAGGAAAGGACCTGAGCAGAGAGGAAAGGAATCTGTTACAGGGTCTTCTGACCCCAACCCCTTAGGGTATCCAGAACAGGCCTCCAGCTTTCCTTGCAGTCTAGAAACGCTCGAACGCTCACTGCCTCCAGGAAGCCCTCCCAGGGCCAAACCATGCCCTTCCATCTGTTACTTTGCCAGGACAGTGCTTTCCAAACTGTGAGTCACTGTGCTAGCACATGAATCACAATATCATTTTTGTGGATCTTGACAACAACATACAAAAGTTAAATAGAAAAGTCTGAAGTATGTTGCTATAGCCATAGAGCTGGCAAACCATAGCCCCTGGGCCAAACCTCACCCACTGCTGTATTTAGATAAATTTTTATTATAACACAGCAGTATCTTTGTTTACATATTTCTATGGCTGTTTTGGGGCTACCATAAGAGTTACATAGCTGAACCATCATGTGGCCAGAAAAGCCTAGAATATGATCTTAGCCTTTCCATAAGAAGTTTTGTGACTCTCTGCAATGGCTAACCTTTGCCTAAGCAGAGGAAATTTCCTTACCCTTATCATGAAATATTGACTTTCCAAAGATCCCAGGAGGCTCAAATCCTAGTCCAGTAGGGTTGACTGACATGATTTGCTCCATTTGGAGAAGTTACTATTCAAAGTATTGGGTTCCAAAATCTCTGTCCAGGAGCCAGTACATTCTAGACTATGAAATAAGCCCTCTCAACCTTCCAAGAAGGTGCTAACATTATCAGAGTTTGCAGGTGTCCTAAACCAGTGTCTGTCAGCTTATTGGAAGAAAACCTCTTGGGAGATAGCAGGCTTCTATCGAGGCTGAGAGCCTAAGATTTAGGCAGGTCTCAGAGATTATACTTAGAAAGACATGTTTTTAATGGGGAGAAAAGCAAGGCAGATGGTCACAAGCTACTCCAGAACCCACTCCATGTCATTTGGCCTTCCAAAGCCACAGGTGAGGACCACTTACCTGAGCCGGGAATCCCGGTGGTCTGTAGCTCTGTCGTGAATATGTGGAACTCTGTCTTCTGTCTTCCTTAATCTTAAGAGTCTTGAGCTGGTCCTCATTTTTAAAACAATCAGTGTGGGAGTGGCTATGCAAATGTAATGGCAGCATTTCTTTAGCCAGTAAGAAATAGCATCTTGGGTTATCAGATATCACTCATCACTTGCTGTTGCCCATACCAAGAATAAAACAAATTCCATGGGCTAGTATCACCATACCACGGCTGTGTCATATCTATTCCACATACTTCAAGGTTCTTGACATAGAACCAGTCTAGTCTGATAGAGAAGATGTAGGTAACAGACACTATAAATGAAAGAGGAGACATGGGCCAGGCCAGCCAGTGAGCATGGAAAAGTTGGGAAATTCCTTATTCTCATGAAGGTTCTTGCCCTAATCCCAGAGTTCAGGTGAGTTTCCACATCCTAGAGAGAAATGTTCCTTTCCTATCTTTTCCCAAGCGTCTTCCAGGATACTACTGATCCTGCCCTGCACCTCTCCTCTGTACCCTCTTCTTCAGAAATGACATGCAAAACACCCTCAAGGGACTGTCCTTGAGCAAGCCCACCAAGCACCAGTCTCTGTCTGTGGCCTATTGGCTATTTACTGTCATCTTCCTCCATTGCATTGCTTGTGCTCGGGCAGGTCAGTTCAGAGGAGAACCCACATAACACAATGAAGATAAAGCTACTGGACCACCTCCCAGCACATCAACACCACAAGAACAGCGACAACCATAGTAGTCAGCCACAGAGCCCTCATTGTGCCAGGCCTGGGCTCAGTCCATTTCTATCTTTACTTCAGACAAGCTTTGGAGGATCTAGTAAGGAGGTATAGCCCTCCCTTCTTTACAGACAAAACACAGTACAATTGAGAAGTTAAGCAACTTATTCAGGATCACATTCCTGGTCATTGGAAGGACAAGATAGCAGTTCAGGCCTTTCAGAGCATGTCATATCCACATCTCTTAAGCATGATTGAATATGGGGGTCTCATTTTCTAACCTTTCTCCATGAACACATTTCTATAATATGCAAACACAGACATGTGTTTGACAAGGTAGAATGCAATGTAAAGCAAATTCCTACTTTGTATCTTTCTTTTTGTGCCCAGTGTGATATCTGCAACATCATTCCATTGCATCAACACTTTTCTACAAGACCATTTTTAATTTTAGGTATTCATGATTTGTCTAAAGACCTGAAAAATGTAATTCCCTCAGTGGCCAGAATAAAGCCCCCTAATTTGCCCATTAAATTCCTAATAAAGAGAGATGTATCTTTGGAGAACACCTTGATCAGGGATGAGATGGTGAAGGAAAAGACAAAGTTAAAATAAAGTCAAAGTGGCCACCACATCACTGTCTAGGCAGGCAGTGATGTGACCAGAGGGGCACTTCTCTTCTGCTGATTCTAGAATAAGGAAGTAGGGACTGGGGGGGGGGGGGGGCTGTAAGGGAAGCCCAGTGTCACTCTCAGGATAAGGAAGATGTAGACTCATGAGGAGGTGCCAGGTTGGGATGGCACAAAGTAAATTTGCAGAGATCATGCCCAAGTGGTTCCAGAGAGTGAGGGAAATGAGAAAGAAGAGTTACGTCCACAGTTATGTCCATAGGGTGGTCTGACTCAGGGTAAACTCTTGCCTTTATAGCCTCAAGAAAACTTCTGTAAGTTTGATTATCTGTACCAATATTGATACATAAGGACACTGTTTACTTGTGGGAGGTTGAGGAAGAGGACAAGGAACAACTAATATGTGTCACATATGAATGGATCCTAATCTAACAAATCACCAATTTTAAACATTTGGGTTATTTTCACTTTTACACCACCATGAATACACTGTGTGGGTGTATGTGTATGAAACTCTGCATTTGACACACACACACACACACACATGCACACAAATATACATACTGTATGTGTATTTATAAATTCTGTGCCTAATATGCTTAGACTTAAATCTTTGCACCTATTATTGATAATGCCCTCAGATAATTCTTAGATATATAATTGCTGGCTCAAAGGATATGTATGTTTTATTTATATATTTTTAAAATTTTTATCTTATAGTGATCTTTAAGAACTCTACTTGATTGGATAATGTTCTCTCTTTTCTAATTACTCACTAATTGAGGCACTATTGAGACTTTGATTGTGTGTGTGTGTGTTTGTGTATGTAAACGTTGTGTTTTGGGTATATTGGTGGGAGGAGCATCTATTAGTATGTGTGGGGTTTTTAGTGTGATGGTTTTCTTGGGCTGCTCTGCACGTTTTGTATGCATTAGCAGTATATATTTAATGTGCGTTCTGGGCATTGTGTGTATGTTGTGTGGGTTGTGGCTTTCTGTATTTCCACATGATGTGTGTGCTGTGGGAGGTAAAAGCCTCGCTTCCTTTGTATGTGCACGCAGCTGCAGGGCTCGGCAGGACCAGGGATCTGCCCTGGATTTAAAGGTAGGACCTCTCTTCCTTCAAGGCAGAACAGAAGCTGCAGCAGGCTTTCCATTCTGCACTTCAAGCCAGCCTCCCGAGCCCAGGTGGCAGAAGTGCCAAGAGACACCTAGCAGTCCTTTTAGAATTTTTCAAAACAGATTCTGCTGTGCAACTGCTCTCCCAAGGAGTCCAGCCATTCTCACAGCTGCTCTTGCAGTGTTTCTGAAAAGATGAGATCACTGAGTGATGCCAACTTTAATTGGTAGTGAGACCCAGAAACATGGGAGCCTGACAGGTGTAAAAAGGCAGCACTGGCCCCAGAAATCCTCCTTACCAGACTCCTACGCCTGTGCCCTCCTCCACCCTCACTGAGTTGGGTGGGGCTGCTGTCCCTCCAGGGCCAATGGCCTGCATCTCCCAATCTCCCAACCACTCTTTCTTGGGCATTTGCCACCCTGCCCTTGCATACCTTTAACTTCCGGCAGCTCTAGGTCTTCTTCCCTCACCCACAGATTCATTTCAGGGACCTACTCCCATGTAATTGTTGATGATCATCTGCCATGGGTTCTGGCTGTTTAACAAGGATGAGGGAAGCACTCTGAAAGGAATGTTTCAGAATTATCGTTCCCCAACTTCTAAGCATACTCCACCCCTTGGTTAGGATTCATTTTACTTATTAATTTATTTGCAAGGAAGACATACACACAGAAGGAGGGAGAGAGCTAGCGAGACAGGGGAATCTCTTCTATTCAGGGTTCACTCCCCAAATGTCCACAAGAGCTGAAGCTGGGCCAGGTCAAAGCCAGGAGCCCAGAATTCAATCCAGTTCTCCCATGTGGGTGGCAGAAACACAAGTACTTGAGCCATCACCTGCTGCCTCCCAATAAATGCATTAGCAGGAAGCTAGAATTAGAGGCGAGCCTAGATTCAAACCCAGGCACTCCAATATGGGATGTGGGCATATTAATCACCGCACCAAAATGCCCACCCTTGATTGTACTTTAAGAGTTTTTTTGTGGGGCTGGTGCTGTGGCACTGTGGGTAAAAGCCCTGGCCTGCAGCACTGGCATCCCATATGGGTGCCAATTTGAATCCCAGCTGCTCTGCTTCCAATCCTGTTCCCTGCTAATGCACCTGGGAAGACAGTGGAGGACGGCCCAAGTCCTTAGGCCCCTGCACCCATGTGGGAGATCTGGAAGAAACTCCTGGCTCCTGGCTTTGGATCAGCTCAACTCCAGCCATTGCGGCCATTTGGGGAATGAACCAATGGATAGAAGATCTGTCTCTCTCTCCACCACTCTCTATAACTCTTTCAACTAAATAAAATAGATATTTAAGAAAATAAACAGTTTATTTTGTGCAAAGGCCTTTTTCATCCCACATTTACTCCAGTGGCTTGAGTCACAGCTGCCAGTCTCTGTGGCACGGCTGAGTAAAGGGGAAGCCCATGCTTGTCCCAAAGAAACGTGGCACCATAGCAGAGCAGAATTCAAGAGCTTCCCTGCCACCACTGTCTCTCATTAATCACTGGTGCAACTGCAAACTGCAGATCTAGGCAACATGCCCTGCCCTGCCTTTTATCTCAAGGTGAGTTCCTGGAACCCACACTTCTCTCTGCTTCTCCAGTTTCTCCAGAGTTGGTTTGGGGGGAAGAGTCAGCCTGTGCTAGATCACCATCGCAGCCAGCTGTGTTTTATTGACAGCGTTGAGGGGATTAGCCTAGAGACAAGCCTTCCTGGTAGAAACAATAGATTTGGGTCCTGGATCTGTTGTGAGATCCAGAGCAACACAAGCTCAGAGCAAGAAGGAAAGACTTGGGTGGACATGTAAACACATAGGAAAGTCCCCAGCGGTTCAGAGGCCAAAGCTCTGCAGCTTTTCTTGCTGGGACCTGGATGAGAGAGGGTGACAAGTGAGAGGACAAGAGTGGAGGTGGCACAATCAGCCTGACAACATGGCAAAAGGGGAGAGTCGTCAGTAGAAACTTTAAAGTCTTGGAGGAAATTTCTAGTTTCCATTCATGGAGAGGAAATGAAAGTTAAGGCTCAATTGTAACACATACCTAATTCCTGTGTTAAGCATCTTTTATGGCTCTAGTGTCATTTTGTTACATTCTAAAATCATCACTTTTTTCTTTGCTTTGGGAATTATTCTCGGGGCTAGAGTTGCTGCCTGTTTGATTGGGCCACTTCTTAAACCCCACTAGCTCTTCCGCTCTTCCTGCCTACTGTCTTCCTCATCTGTAGGAACTTGGGGCAAAGCAGGGACGAGGGAAAAGACACCATAATTCATGGGTTGAGATTCAGCACTCCCTAAGAGCATCACACAGGTCAGATGAGTGAGTTTTCATACAGGAAAGGAAGAGTATTAGCATTTAATTCAAAGGAGCATAAGCCCAGAGCTCCTGCTAAAAAATAATGCTAAGTGTGAGGAAAAGGCAACAGAGCAAATATAGTAGAATGCCAAAAAGTATTAGATTAAACAAAAAAAAAAGATTTTTAAAAGAGCAAAAAACCCCAAAGAATGAAATTTCAACCACAAATTGCTAATTACACTAAATATTCTTACTATCCAAAGACTGGGTCAACAATATATGGTGTATCCACACAATGGAATGAAACTCAGCAATAAAAAGTAACAGAATATTAATGTA